GACAAATCGAGGCTATATGACTGAAAATGAAAACACTTCGGCGTCAGCTTTTCAAATATCTATATTAAAGCCTTGCACTGCCTTTAAAAAGACAAAGGAGAGGATAAACGATGTTAAATCATATGCATTAGAGCAAAGATTTATTTCGAAGTAGACATCAAGGGAGTTTGTGCTTTGTAGCTCATCAAGTATTTCCACTCTTACAAAATCTTCTATTAATTTCCCTTCCCCAATTGGTTTCATGGATTTTTCTGTTTTTCTATAGGTAACACTGCTGGATTGTGCATTCGTTCGCAGGGATCCATATGGTGTGGTGCTGATCATTGGAGCCTATAACTTCCCTATCCAGCTTACTTTGTTGCCCCTTGTGGGAGCCATTGCAGCTGGTGAGTGAGAAGCTAGTTCCTAATTCAGTTTAGACATTAGATTTGATTAGTGTTCTTCCAAGAGATCCAGGCATGTGGTGGATGTTAATCTCTTGCAACCATGGTAAAGTATTCTCTTCCCATATTAGGGAATTGTGTGATTCTCAAGCCTTCAGAGGTGAGCAGCTACACTGAAAAGCTCCTTGCAGAAGCATTGCCTTGTTATTTGGATCAGGTAAGTTCCTCAACTGCCAGTTTGCCTTGTTAAAAAAAAAAATCAAAACTGAGGGTTTTTGATTTGCCTTTCCTTCTGCCATTTGCCTTAATTTCCTAGAAATTTTAACTGCAATTCCTTGGGTACTTTCAGAAACAAAAAAAACTCTGGTTCTGAACTAATTTCAAACTATCTATTTTTGGAAGCTGAGTCAGTTTATTTCCAAGTTCATTTGAAATCCCTCCAAAATTTATTTTCTTTTGGATTGTGGTAGCTGGTAAACGTCTGAGGGTGGTAAACTGACTATATAGATTATTATTTTAATTGAAAAACCCTTTGGGGGAGATTTGAGGAAGAATTAGGCTAGGAGATTACTATGAATGTAAGACAATTCTACTGGCATAGGAAGGTTAGACACACAAAAAAATAGAATCCTACCTGTCACTTAGCAACTGTTTGAAGTTGTAACAGATCATTCCAGACCTATTTGAAGTTCTGATGGCCAGGCACCCCTTCTTCCCCCACCTCCACACAGAGATCATGTAATTGCATTTTTGCACACTCCACAACTGGTCTGCATTTACAGGTGTTTTGCTGAAAACTGGTGTTTGCTTTTGGTTCCCAACCAAAAAACCCCCCACTGCAGACAATGGATTCATTTAACAACCACTGCATTTGTTTAGTGACTGCCACACATAAAGTTCATCAAATCAGGCACAACCATGTGTGATGATCTACTTAACAACCAGCACAACTTACAACTGTAATTCCAGGCTCAATAACGGTCATAGGTTAAGGACTACCTATATTACCATATTCTCATTACATCAAAAGCAATTGTCTCAGTTTGAAATTAAAATATTTAAGAAAAATCTTAGTTGCCTTCAATTTACTGCATCCTTTTTGTGTTCCAAATTGCCCCCAAGAGGCTTTTTGTCTTGCAAAGATTCAGGGACAGAAAACACCACCTGTTTGATATGCAGGCAGCTTGACTGGATGTCAACTTCCCTTTTCTATTTTACAGCAAACCTTTGCTGTGGTGACAGCTGGTCCTGAAGAAACAGGAAAATTACTGGAAAATAAGTTTGATTATATCTTCTACACAGGTTATTTTCCCTTTTTGTATATTCTTTTCAGGTTATTCTTTTTAATATTAAAAATTATTTATCAATAATAATGGCACAAAACAGTGTGATAAGCAATATTGAAGTATTGAAATTGAAAGGTTCAGATAATTTATCTAAAATCATCCTTTAGGACCCTGCCACTACCTCCCATCTGCAGTAGAATTTATCTTTGTAGCTAATGCATTACCTTTCTAGAAGGCCTTGTATATTGCAGCAATTTGCTATGTGTCTTGGTTAAGTAGCTTTATCCTGTCTATCACAGTACAGCTGAGTTAATGACAAGTTAGGTCAGGGAACCTGTTGCACCTGGCATTTGTAATTTCACCTGTCAGCAGCTTCCAGATTGTAGATCTTGCCCACAAGTGGTAGAAAAGATGAGCAGTCACACTCTAAGTAGGAAAAAGCCTGTGCTTGATATAGAACTTCAGCTTTTGGAAATAATGAAAAGTATCAGTCTCGGGTGTTTTTCTGCACAATGAAGATACTTCATTTCAACCCACATAGGTTTTCTCAGATTTGCTTTTCTTTTTCATTGCCAGAACAGCTCAAGTTTATATTAACAACACTTAACAGGAATTTGACAGCAGTTTGACATGGGATTTTAATGGACTGCCCCTAATACATTCTAGATCTAAACTGATATTTTAATAACTTGAATGAGGAGTGGAAAAATAATTATCAATTCTGCAGATGAAACAAAATTGGATGGAATAAAAATTGTAGGAAACACTAAAAAACCAGTTGCTTTGTTAACTGTTATTTACACTTATCGGATTTTTTAAACAATCTGTGTGGAATTTTGCAGAACTGTATGGAAGAATGTTAGAGAAAAAAACAACACAAAACTGAGGACCCTGATACTGGATTGGAGATGTGGGTGTCTGTATATTTCTCTTGACCCAATTTTTTGCCATATCTCTATAGGGAATCATCGTGTAGGAAAGATCGTCATGACTGCTGCAGCAAAACATCTGACACCATTGACTCTGGAGCTGGGAGGTAAATGTCCCTGTTATGTGGATAAGTCCTGCAATTTCCAGAATGCAGCCAACCGAATTGTATGGGGAAAATTCATCAATGCTGGACAGACGTGTGTTGCACCAGATTATGTGATCTGTACAACTGAAACACAAGAGCAGTTGCTGCCTTGCCTGCACCAAGCTATCTGTGAATTTTTTGGCAAAGATCCCAAGAAGTCACCTGATCTTGCCCGCATGGTCAATGACAGGCATTTCCAGCGCGTCCGAGCTTTGCTGGAATGTGGCCAGGTGGCCATTGGTGGAGAGACCGATGAGTGTGAGCGTTATATTGGTGAGTATACAGCTTGGGACTGGAGGAAGACTAAAGAAGAAGGATTTGGCATTTGGGAAAGACAGGAACACATTTTATGATTATAAATAGTCCTTATTAATCAACCATTTGAAGTTACAAGGGAGCTCAAAAAAAGATACTTACAACCCGTGGTGACGTGACTGTATTTTGGACACTTGGCAACCAGCCTGAATTTTATAGATGTTTACAGTATCCTGTGTTTATGTGATCACTATTATGTTTTTTTGCCAGAAACCGGCATTTACGGCTGGTAAAAAAACACCAATTGCAAACAATGTGGTTGCTGAACAAATGCAAAGTTTGCTTAACAATCGCTATGTTTACTTAATCATCATTGCAAAAAAAAGGAGTCTGTAAAATTGAGTCAGTCAACTTACTGTATGACCTGCTTATTGACAGTTTACAACTATAATTCTGGGGTCAATTACCATCATAAGTCAAGGATTAGCTGTACTATCTATTAAGACAACGGAGAAAATCTGTATGGTTGCTAAGAGTTGAAAATGACGATGGCATATAATAATCAAGCTTAGTAAGAAGTGTATTATAAGTAGATATAGGGCTGTAGATCACCCTTCCAAGTTGGTGCTCACCGAATGTGTTGGACTTTAATTGTCATTGGCCACACAGTAGGGGATATTTTAAAAGTTGAAGTCTAATGATCTGGCAAGTGAGAGACTTGGAAAATCTATTTTAAATAAAGCAAGAAGACAGACATGTTTTCTGGGGTTTCATATTGGAAATGTAGTCATGGGGAAAGCTAAAACTCTGGTTAAATCGGACAATAAAGTTATAGTATATAAACGGAACAGACCTTAATGTGATCGTTTGCCCATTACAGCTCCCACAGTGTTGGTGGATGTGAAAGAATGGGACCCAGTCATGCAAGAGGAGATTTTTGGGCCCATCCTGCCAATATTCATTGTGAGAGATATTAAGGAAGCCATAGACTACATCAATTGTGGAGAACGTCCACTAGCTGTGTATGCCTTCTCCTCTGACTCCAAGGTATATTGTTTAGGTCTAGCATACTATATGTGGGAGAATCTGGATTATTTCCCATAACTCCATCCATGATGGCCAAAAGAAAGGAGACTTGCACTATTTTCAAAATATGTTTATGTCGTAAGCTGCAATGAACCAACATGGTAGCAGTTCTTTGCCCACTGGTAATACAGTCTGGATGATAGAAGAAAAACAGAATTCTACCCATGATTATTTATCAATAAGCCGATGTTAAAAAATAATTGGCTCATCTACATATCCATAATGCAAAGAATTAGCACTATTTTTAAGATTATATTGTCAAAACATAGCCTCTCTCTCATCCCCTGCCCACTGCTGAAGAGGTAACAACTGCTCTATGCTGTTCTGGCATGTTTAGTAATGTTTTCCCTTCTATTGTACCACAAGAGCTCCTGTGTAGACATTCTGAGGCACATGGAATCCTTTGGAGGTTCACAGTCTCCTAGATTACAATTGCATTGGGTTCCTGAAGCAAAGTCTTTTCTTTCTCTGTCCCTGGACACCTCCCAACTTTTGGGAGGTAATTTCAACTATTTATCAGAGCTAATGGGGAGATGGCACCCTCCCCCAATTCAGGCACTGATATTTTTGCTCTATACCTCAGAGGTCTCCTAAAAGAACAATCTTTCTCTTTACCTGGGAAGAGAGAAGTTGAGAAAAAGTTCTTAGTGTATGCTGTAAAGTCCTTGCTTGAGAGTACAATGAGATGACTCACAGTGGCCAAGTTGGCACAGATGGGTGGGCGTGAACAGGTGGGTACAGCCAGATCGGGATAGTTGACTTGGTGCCGCCAGGTCAGCATGGACGGATGGGCGTGGCCAGGTGGGCATAGATGTGTGGGCGCAACCCAGTCAGCATGGAACAGGTTGCCTTGGCCAAGTGGACATAGGGATAACTGTGTCCCACCAGAAGAAACATCAGCCCCTAAGGGCTGCTGGAGCCCAATGGTGGTCAATCCACTGCCCCCAAGAACAACTTCCCTGTTCTCTCCCTTCCTCCTCCTCCTCTGGCCGTTCCTAGCCTGGCCCACCTCACCTCCCCTGCCTGCCTGCTCCTGAGGGATAGATTGTGGAAATCTGCCCCCCCCCCCAGCTGCCTAGAGGTCCTGTATTGGCTCAAGCCCTCAATGACCACTTGCCTGCTTGCCTGGGGTGCTTCTCCACCTGGCAGATCGGGGGGGGGGGCAGCATGCCATTGTTCTCCCTGCCACTCTCCAAGGAAATGAGAGGAGAGGACCCCACCCCAGTCCCATTTTCAATCTCTCAACTATTTTACTACGATTCATAGAGAATTTTTATTTCTTTATTTTTGCCTTCCAATTGATTTTTAGCAAATGGTTACTTGGCCCCATCTACAACATTCGTCATTTTGTGAGTGTGTCTGTGGCACATTTTCAACATTCCAAATACTCGTAGTGGCACAAAAGCTAAAGACCCTTGTTTGTATTGTGACTCATACTATTATAGAGCTGGGACTTGATCAAACTCACGTTTGGAAGATTAAAAACGGGACTCTTAATACTCTTCTATTCTTTTTCTCTTGATAGGTTGTGAACCAGGTACTGGATTGTACTAGCAGTGGTACCTTTTGTGGTAATGATACCCTGATGCAAGCAATATCGGTTTCCCTACCATTTGGTGGCATTGGTATGATTAACCTTTTATCTTCTATGCTGTCTCCATTTCTTGCCCCCATCCTTATCCTTCCCTTCCAATGTGAAAAGTTCTCCCATTTGATGTTTGTCATCCAAAGATATTAAAAGTCCATTTTTTACTTTGACCAGCACATTTCCTGATTAAATCAAATGCGATCAAATAATAAATATCTCATGCTATAAGTCATGTGGTCATTTATAAATAAAGGAGAGGGCTGGAAATCTGGTCTACATTACACTGGTAAGCCGCAATAAAGGGAGAGGGCTTAATATTTTTGATTTTGTAAGTGGTACTAACAAGATCATCAGGTTAAGTAGCTCTGGTTCAGTAGGTCTGCTCCCATACTCTACTAAAGACAGGTTAACATTCTGTGTAAATCAGTATTGCATTTTGGCTACCAAACATAGTTAAACTGATGTGCATATTTAATTTCTGTTCAATTTTTAGGTATTGTGATAACAAAAAAAGCAGTACTGTATTTTCCTTTTATTGTGGATTAAGGCAGCTTAATGGATTTGATCTGATTTTTTTCTTGTTAATATTGCAGGACTCAGTGGAATTGGCAAATACCATGGCAAGTTTACTTTTGATACATTTACTCACCCACGGGGCTGTCTGTTGCGTTGCATGGGCCTGGAGATGATGAACAAAATGCGCTACCCACCATACAACAATACAAAATTGAGAGCAATGGTCTGTGCTTTGGAGATCAGGCGCAGTATGCTGCATTCTTAAGGATCTTCAATCAAGAATTTTGGTGTAGTTGAGAGATTTTTTCCTTTATCGGTTGGCTCTAGAATTTTGCCTCAACACCTTCAAAGATCCTTGAAAAACACTCTCTGTTTGGCAAATCTTATTTTCACCATCTTTGCATCTTATAACTTTTCTTTATCCTGTATCAGCTTCTATAAATTCAATATTTAGTAGTGGTTAGAAAACGTAGGGACATCCTCCATTTCTCTTTGCACAGTTTTGGGTATAGAACATATCTTCATTTCCAGCAAGGACTAATTATACAATTAATTAATATTTCTGTGTAAAATTTCATCTTGATTTTAACACATAAAGCCAATTCTGCTTCAAAATTTACAAGCATCAGATTCTTTGCTAAAAATAGACAAGTACAGTTCCTCTTTATAGTGGAGCAATCATTCTGATTAATATTTTTGTACAATAAGGCTAGCATCATGGATGGTCTTTGTAAAATAATCAAACTATTTGTTTGTGAATATTTAAATATTGGAGCCATTAAAAAAATTAATTCTCAAAGAAATTCAAAGCTAAGCTAATGCAGGTTGTTATTCATAAATATATTCTGTCAACAATGCATTTTCTATATTTGGATGCTTTAAAACTCAGACATGCCCTCCTTAATTATATTTCCTTCAATATATTTCTCTACAGTTACAGTTCAGATTCATTATTCTATCAGTGATTTCTATACTACTCAGCACAAAGCATAATAATTTAGAAGTATAGTATGTCCTATCAAGCTCAGAGATTTATTTTTATGTAAATCTGCTAATTGCAAACTTACTGAGATTTCCTGCAACCTTGCATTTTCAGGTAAATGTTTTGCTTCTGTAATAAATATCTTGCATCAAAACTTGCAAATAGATGTCTAATTATTTAATAGTGCTATCAATTGACGTAGTGTATTACCTAATAAAATTAACCAATAATTAATTTCTAAACCAGGAACTTTTGGTTGAAATGTAGATACTGGTGAACAAAGATAACAGAAAGAAGTAAATAAATGTGTTTATTTGTGAATGTGTAAGCAATTTGCTACAATAAAAATAAACAGCATCTTGGCATTCTAAAAGAAGTAGCCACTCTAGGGAGTACAGGGGTGTAGCTCTAACAGTAACTGAGGTCTTGCTGATTGGATCTATTGCATTTAAACTTCCCAGTGCTTGCTATAATTGTAAGTTTGTCAGGGGTGCAACTCTAATGGTAGCTGAGGCCTTGCTGATTGGATCTATTGCATTTAAACTTCCCAGTGCTTGCTACAAGTGTAAGTTTGTCAGGGATGCAGCTCTAACAGTTGCGGCCCACATGCCGAATTATATAACTAAAAATCAAACAGCAGCGGTACATTCAGGGCAAGTGCGTCTGAGAAGGGCAATGTGGACAACCGTGGGATCTGGCAGGGTGAGAGCTGTGAACCACAAACATAAAGCTTTTGCTGTGTCCCTGCACAACAGATACAGTGCCCTTGCTAAACTTAATAGGGACATTAAGGAGGCAGGTAAAGGTATTTGTGATGATAACTTAAATAAACAGGGGATCTTGGTCCGAGATGAAGAACTTGTTTTCGACAGGGAGAAGTGCGAATCAGGTATTACACATCAGTCATGCAAGAACAGAAAAGCACCCAAAAAGAGAAGCCTTCTTCTGGTTGGTGATTCAATTATAAGGGATATAAATTTAGGAAAGGACACAGAGATTTTGAAAGAGGTCAGGTGTCTTCCAGGTGCTACTGCCAGTAGGGACAAGAAGCGTATTTGTAAAATAATCAAGAATGCCAGCAAGGACTGTGATGTGGAGGCTATTGTACATCTTGGCACTAACGATCTGTCTCAAAAAGATGTACTCTCTGTGCAGAATGATTTCCAGAGCCTGGGGCAGGACCTTAGCAGAATAGGCTGTAGGCTTATTTTTTCAGAGGTCTTACCAGTGTATAAGGACCAAAATGGAAAAGGCCAGCATATAGCACAATTCAATATGTGGCTAAAGGAATGGAGTAAAGGGGAAGGCTTTGGATATATTAATCACGATGTCAGCAGCTGGTCCAATGAAAAAATGTACAAAAGAGGTGGTTTGCATCTATCAAAGAAAGGGACTGAGTTGCTCAGCTATAAATTCACAGATTTTCTGGAGGAATATTTAAACTAAACAGCGGGGACAGTGAATCTAATTGATACAAAATCTAAAAATCTAAAAATTATAGAGCTATCAGTGCATGTAACATAGATGTGTGTGTGGACAAGAACATCAACCTTGCTGTCAAGTAAAATCAAGCTCGTAATAGCGAGTACCACACAAAGTGCACTACCAAATAGGTGGTAAGACAATAGGGGAAGTCAGGCACCACACAGGTTATGTAGAAAGTAAACACAGGGTCGGTCATAAAGGACTCAAATGTCTATACACCAATGCACAGAGTATGAACAGCAAACAGGGTGAACTAGAAATTCAGATTAATGAGGGCAGATATGATATTGTTGCCATTACGGAAACATGGTGGGATGAAACCCACAAATGGAACACACAGCTAGAGGGATTTAAATTATTTAAAAGAAACAGACCAAATAAAAGAGGAGGTGGAGTTGCTCTCTATATAAGAAATAACTACATCTCTACAGAAATAGAGCACAACAATGATGAAAACTGTCTTGA